GTTTTTTAAGATCCAAGAACATAATATCGCTTGATCCGGCCGTCACCGTAGGCACCCAAGATACATCTCGCCTCACCCAAAGTATGGACCTTGGAGGATTCATCCCGATCCTAAATTCGGTCGACTTGCCGGCTGAGATACCCATGTGCAGATCGTTAACATTTATAGCCGATAAATTTGATCTTTACGGTGGTCTCCATCCTGTCAAACCGATCCGGACTTCTTCCGGCAGACATAGTGTCCCATCGGCCAGATCCAAACGGAAACCTGCCGGAACTATAAAGACCATACCCAGTATGGCTTCTTGCCTCGTTTGATCTCCGACCCATACTTCTAAGTAGTGTACCAGCTATCCGTCCTATGTGACTTTGATCTTGGTACGTCCCGCCGTCATGTAGGCATTTTCTTCGATCCCAACACATTACTGCGTCCGACTTTCGTCAATGACACATCCCACCTTACGAGCAAAGGTAGTGTCTTGGATTGAAATTTCTGAGCCGGAGTCAAACAAAATGGTGGATCTTTCGTTGTTGATCTTGCCTACAGCCTCGGCTTGTTTAAACCACTTTCCTGGAGTATGATACTTCCAATTCCCGCGCGACTCCCCTGAGGCGAGATCAAGTTCCATCTTCATAGGAAATCGCGTACATTCGTCCACTCTTTTCACTTTTTTATTATGGATGGACAAGAGTAGAAACACCACGTTGATTAGCTAACGGATCGATCCGATCGTTTTGATCTTTATATATATTTTGCGTTTCAACAAATGCATAAATGTAAAGACTAGAACGCTCGGCTCATAACATATTTAAAACTGGCGAGTGTTGTAGTTTAACATATCCTCGATCTTAGGTAGGAACATTCCGGAATGCTTGCTGGGCATATACCACTTGCAGATTAGATTGTAGAATTCCTCCATGGATCATTTGCCAAAGTCATGTATCTCTCCACAAGCTGACACACGCGTAGAAACACTTGTACGATGGGTGTCCTTTGCGGTCACACTTCTGGCATGTCAATATCTTCCAGCACCCAAGATAGTCATTCATTTATGATCTGCAGTGGGTTCACGCTTTATTCATTGTGACGCGATCCGCTCTGTCTTTAAGACGCTTCTCTCCCGTATCCGCTCCCTTATCTCTCAAATTCTTCATGCGATCTGAGGTCGCGGCTACAAACACATTCCGTAATTTGTCTTCCCCGTTCAATCCGCTAAGATCTGAACCTTTTCCACTGTGCTCGTTCTCTACACGAAGAGCTCTTACTACGCGAGCTGGCTTCGCAGATTTTTGGGGGGAAAGATAGTGTAAGTCGCGATCGTAATTTGTTCGATCTTGTAGATGATTGAACCTGTCTATTTTCCATACGCTGGTAATCGCTTAACGTCTCTTCCATCTCATCTGCATCTTCCAACCTTAGCGAAGTCTTTTGTCTAGGCAGATTCCGACCGTCAAGCGTCCCGGTGAAATGTTCCACATATTCACGACGTACATCCCGCTATCCGTCTCGAATCTGTATCTTCGTTGTTCTTACCGAGACATTCAAACCATACAGATATTATTGTGGCGTTGACTCTGATCGTTTCTTTGCATGGTATTACTGTCTTCCAACCGACATGCCATTGTCCCCATATTCTAAGAGAAAACTTTCCAGAAGGCCCTTCCATGAGCGACGAGTAGATCGGCTCAGCTGGTTTACCAGTTCCGCGCGGGGCCCGTGAGGAGATCATCAAACACTAGGCTTCATCTTCATCTGGAGCTTGTTCTCGTAGGAATGCGGACTTGACCTGGCTTGATCTTAATCCCTGTCTTTACGTTAATGCCTTCATATCCGCGATCGCAGACATCCGAATCCGCGAAGCGCTATATCCACCACCCGGTGCTGGTTTCGTATCCTCTACCAGTGGCCGTCTGAGATCGTCTTGCCCGGAGTCGTTGGGGTCTTCTCCTTCGGGTAATATGTATCCGATCTGTCTTGACGCGACTCGACCGATTCCATCATGACGTACGGGATGAATGTCTCCTGCTTCCTCGTATGTCTCACAGTCTGACTTGATTAGACAGCTTGGCGAGCCTGTTCACGATGCTCTACCGGAAATGTCTCATGGCATCTTCGAAATACGCATGTAGTGGTCCTATGATGTTCAAGCTTACGTCATCTCCGGCGCATGCATCTGCTGAGAGCGTCTCGTCCTTGATCCTCATCATGCAATCTTGCAGATGAATTGCCTCACTTAGGCCCAGCGCCATCCGCTGAATACCTAAGGATTCATCTGATGCGATCTCTGATTCAGCTGATGCGTAATGCGATGATCCAGTGTTATATCCTCTTCGGGTATCCGCGTTCTCCAGAAAAGTTTGATCTTCGTTCTTGTATTCACCCGTCAACGGGATCAGCCCTTCATTCAGCGATAGACTCGCCCTGATCGCTTGATCTTGTTTACAGTTCAGTTATTTGTACGCGTCGAACACCCCCGCGACGAATCGTGCATCCCGTAGCAGCTGGATGATTCCGGTTATCTCTTCGAGCGTGTATGATGCGGTCGCTGGAGCTGAGACCGGGCCTTGAATATTCCCGATCAGCTTGGGCTTCAATATTTGTAGCACAGGTCGCTTGACAGCAACGTCTTGAGTACCTTCCAATGATATGCCTCCATCAGAAGGTCCGATTGCCAACCTTCCGTAGTCTCTTTTTCTTCCACAAACTTGACCGTCCGATACTCGACTTTCATGGCGCGGTCGCGTTGCTCAAGCTCCGACGCTGCTCTCTTTGTCCTTGACGCTGTGGTAAAGCGACCAGTAAAATTTGCGATACGAGAAGGGAACGCGCTCCAGTCACATCCGAGTTGGCAGACGGTTGGCAACGCCGGTCATACAACTGGTCGAATCACGTCCACTGGACGGTTAAACAGAACCAGATATCAGATCAGACAGGATGGGACCTGCGATATCAGGTTAAAGTACGACGGGCAAGGGGATGGTTACGTTGGCGATCAGTAGATCAAGAACGAAATCGCGACCAAGGTGGCGATCGAGATCGTGATCGCGATCAGGTTGGTGTGAACCACGATAAGCCGTCGAGACCAGAGAGGTGTGTGCCACATCATGTTATGCGACGAGCCCTTATGGCATCGTCCAGCTAGACAAACTACATCAACAGGGAGTCCTCATCGACTTACCGGTTTTTGGAGATATCAATCTTCAAGATTTCCGGACGACGCGTGTGTGTCGTCCCACCCGCAGCAGCATAGAATTGCTGCTGTCTAAACAGCTCCGCCTGTTGAGATCCGAGTTTTCATAACTGCTCGGCCTGTTGAGAGACTTGCTGGTGAAGCAAGGCTTCTTTCTCTTTTTTTAGTGACAAGTTCATTTTGAATGAACCTGGCTATAGCGGCATGTTGGTGGTCTCTGTCAAGAGACTCCAACATGGCGCTAATGGCGGTTTATCCTACGGTAGAGCTCATACGTTCTACCGCACTCCATTCGATGTCACGCAAATGGTTAAAGCCTTCACGAGTGGCGTGAAAGATTTCCTCTTCATCTAACATGCATGCTGAATGAGGTAGTTGTGGTTGATGAACGGACTATGAAGTGCTACCAGGTGTAACGGGGCACGCTCTTACCAGATGGCTGGCAAGACCTTGTGTAAACCGAAAACAAGGATGCGTGTTTCCGACTTCACGTACACGTGGCGAGGAAGCGCAACCGAAGTAAATAGAACTCGAAAGCTCTATTTAAGGGAAAGAGTAGACCTGTGTTTAATAAAGTTATGCTTCTTTGTAAACCATCTTTGTCTTGATCTAATATACTAAACTACAATCTCCTGTATGGGTTTTTTGCCCACCACCCATTGCGCGCGTCCAGCAGCGATTGGTGGTTAATCTGGTTGATGTAGCGTCTACATCAACCATGAAGTGGAGCACCCAAGAATATTAACCTCGGGGGTAATACTCCGCCAATATCACCTCTTCTCTAGTGATGTTGATTGAATATTATCGAAATGGATAATATTCAAGAATTGATACATTCGTATCAATTCTTATGTAACGGGCTCACCCCGTTACATCGGTGCTCTCAAACCTCACGTACGCGGTACGTGTAGAGAAAGAGAACTACCCGAGCAAGAAACCGCCCAGTCAGGGAAAGCAAAACAGTATTTGATACAGCTAATTCGTTTTAAATTAATCTTCTTCCGTTTACTTGCACGATATTGAACCACAAACTTCCAATGTGTAATCTCGCTTACCACCCATTGCCCCGTCCAGCAACGATAGGCGATTTATTCGGTTGATATCATGGCCTATATCAACCAATCATGGAGCGATGCCGAATATTACCTCTACAGGTAATATTCCTACAATATTGACCCGCAAGAGTTGCATTGTAAAATAGAAACAATTAAAATATAATTTACATTGACACAATTCGTGCCAATGACATGTAACAGGCTCACCCCGTTACAGCAGCGGCTTGCGACGTCTTCCGTTGCTGGGTTCAAAGCTACTCTAGCCTGCTTCAACTGGAACACGACGACCGGCTTTCAACGATGGGATCAACGGACCATACTGAGGAGGTAAGATGAATTGGAACGCTACTTGGCCCATGGTGTCAACGTTGCAATGTATGGGGGCACTGCAACATACGAAGCGGTGGAACCCGTGTAACGCACGCATAGCTGTAGCTGCCCGAGAAACACTTTGATTCTAGCTGCAGCACGTGGTGAGCATGGCGAGAATAGGGACTGGCATTGTGCAACCAGATCGGTAAAGCTCCTCGTATGCGGAACTGGGTACATGTAACAGTGCAAACGATGACCGGTGTGACGTGTCGAGAGACAAGCGGAAGCAATAGACGTGCGCAGAACAAGCTACGCATGCTCGTGCCGTCTACCGTTGCGTATATCTGCTCGTTAAACATTCTTCTCTGTCAATCGACAAGTAACGGCCGCACTGCGGCGCCAACGCGCACAAATGGCACGTGGCGCAACGATATGTATACCACTTACAGCCACTTCTGGCGCAGCTTGATCACGTACGGCTCAGCCTGAGCGATCGACTTGGGCTTGAAATCGGCGATCGCGTCAATCTTTTCGCGAATCTCGGGCGTAATCTTGTCGATAAACTCCATCGCCTTCAAGTTTTCATCCAACTGCTTGATGCTCGTTGCTCCGAGAATCACAGTCGACACGTGCGGGTTGGCCGCCACCCAGGCGATCGACAGTTGCGCCAGCGAACAGCCCACTTCCTTGGCCACCTCGGCCAGCTTGTCAGCCTTGACAATCTTCTCGTCCAGTCCGTTCGACAGCATGGCCTTGTACGACGGCACCGACAGCCGCGAGCCTTCTGGAATGCCCTTACTGTATTTACCCGTGAGGACACCGGACGCCAGCGGCGACCACGTCGTGAGCCCGTAATTGTACTTCTTGTACAGCACGTCAAAGTCATACTCGACCCGCGAGCGCTCCAAAATGTGGTACTGCGGCTGGTCGAATATGGGACGCACCAGACCGAGACGGTCGGCGATCTCGCACGCTTCGATAATGTCCTTGGCGCACCACTCGCTTGTGCCCCAGTAGAACGCCCAGCCCTGGTCAATGAGGAAGTTCATAGCCCGCACCGTCTCCTCAATAGGCGTGGCAGGGTCTGGACGGTGGCAAAAGACCAGGTCGACGTAGTCCAGGTCGAACCGCTTGAGGGACGCCTTCATGCCTTCCACCAGGTGCTTGCGGCTATTGCCCACGTCGTTAGGACCCGACTTGGTGCCGAAAAAGAGCTTCGTACTGAGCACCAGGTCCTCGCGAGCCCACAGCTTGGCGTCAATACCAGTCTTCACGATCTTGCCCATGATGATCTCCGATTGACCATTGGCGTACACTTCCGCGTTGTCGAAAAAGTTGACGCCCTGCTTGTACGCGTGCTCCATGATGCTGTATGCCTTGTCAAAGTCCAGCTGCGTGTCGAACGTCACCCAGCTGCCGAATGACAGACGCGACACGAGGAGACCAGAGTTGCCGAGATAGCGGTACTTCATGTTGTGGGTGGCGGAGGTGCTGGAGGTGGTCATAGTGATGACGCAGATGGGCTGCAATGGGTTCGAGTCTTACGAGGCAAATTCGTCAATGAACGTCTAACTGCCCGAACGTCTGCAGGGGGCGGTCACCCTCAACGAAACCCCCGTCGCTCGTGATCGTAGTGCGAGAGGAGGAGACAGAAAGGCCATGGGAGACGACGGAGAGCGCCGCGCAGATCCGTTGATGATGCGATGCGCTCGATACGTAGGTGCACCTTCTGAGCTGGATCCCATTATCTCGGATGGGATGACTACGAATCGTCGAGCTGACAACTACGCAACCAGGTGAGATATTGGTGTGAGTCTTTTCACTGACGTTGATTGTCGGGCAGATACACGAGCGAGATATGTACGGCACGCTGAGCTGGCAGCCACACATGGCAAGTGTTCGCCGTTCTTGACACCTATGACTTCTGCGCTACTCTCCTCTCTGCTTCAGGTCGAAAGTCCGAAGTGTCGGTGGATGAATCGTGGACAGTTTCATCTGTCGACGTTGCAGGAACAACAACATCGCAGTCACGAGGACCGTTCTTTGCGCTGCTAGTTCCGAGAAAGGTCCGCAACAGAGTGTCAAGACGTGTGATGGATGAGCGCGACGTGTGTCTGCCACCTGCCTGGCAAGCCAACGCTCGCTTCTCTCTCGAGCTTCTCGAACAATTGACACGTCATTCGTACCTAGCTTTATGTCCCCAACTACCGTTGGATGCCCTTGAACCTGGCTGATGTTCGCTACCATTCTCGAGGGCGACGCGCATCCTCGTGAATGTACGAGCCACGTCAGATTCACTACACGCGCGTTGACACGTCACTTGCGCAAATCATCGCGTAAATATGCACGAGAGAAAATCTAGCGACAACGTGCTCATCACCTGTACAAGTAAATGTCCATATCTGACTTTTCAACGATCTTGCACATAGTCATGCCGTGTAAATGGACGATCTGACCCTCTCTCTCTCTAGATGGCCGCATCCGCCTACAGCAGCTGACACTCAAGGCATGAAAGGCAGTCGAGGAGGAGGAGGAGCAAAGAGACGCCTTGATGAGCATTCCACAGGCTTCTATGCGTTTATCCATCTCTTGTCCGACCACCTTGGCATCAGCTCATCCTCGTTTGGCTGTCGCACAGCAGCGAAGTCAGTCAACAACGTGGTTACGATTGCGTTTGCATGCGTGCACGATGCAACCACTGTGCATCGGCGTGCAATATGAGATAGACGATGCACGTAAACGATAACCGAAAGAGTACAGCATTGCCGCAAGGCCCATCGTCGGCACCGGGTAGATGTGTCTGATGCCGCACTACGATATAGTAGATGCGCAGTGCACGGGCTTGCTTGAACCGTCTTCTACGGCACGGCTCTCTCTTTGTGACCACATGCATGCAATATGTGCTGCTGTACGAGTCTTCTTGACAAGCAAGCAAGCACGCTCGATAAGCTACCTGTGCAGCTGCGAAGGCGATGGCGCAGATGACGTCAGGATGGACGATGGTGCTGTTTTGACTGCAAGTCGCTGTCTGAGACCCAAAATGGACACGAACTTGCGTGCGATGCAGGCGCACGTCCTCGTTACGACTCTGTTCTTTCCACATACACTCACGAGCACAAGCCTTCTCCTCACGACCCTCGATTCATCATCGATTGCGTCAGTCTTCTTCTCGCGGCACGTCGACCAGGATATCGATTGAGGTATTGTCATCATCCTCAATCGTCCGCGCTATCGGCTTTCCGTTACGTAACATGTTTGTCAAACCGTCACTGCAAGTAACACGTTTACATGTCAGCAGTGACTGCGCCCCTTCGAGAGAGGCTACAAAGCTCTTCAACATCGCGTATCTATGGTATTTCTTGTGAGCATGAGTGGCAACGGCCTTGCAAGGGTCATGTATACTCCCCGCCTACGTCATAGTTGGGCTACAGCTTCTACTATCGGGTCAATTCCGCTCCGTTCTTACGCGACTGCGTCGTCTACCGACGGATCCGAACAGCAGCTTTGGCCACGATCCAATATGAGGCTGCCATACAGCTTCTGTCGTCTCTTTACCGGACGGTACGACAACCATTCTTTACTGAGATGGTTTGCGTGTCTATGATTCACATTTGCCTTCTTTGCTGGATACGCGCCGTCGATACGTTCTGTGCGACTGTGCGTGTAAAAGCTTCGTCCTTCCTCAACGTCACACTTCGACCGACAAGACTGTACGCAACATCTTTTTGAGCGTACAAATTGATAAAAACGATGAAATTCCATCTGTGCACTCGTTCACCAGAACGCATTTTCGGCAGTCTGAACATTCGTAAAACTTAGGCTTTTCAGCAGCAGCAGCAGCAGTGAATAGGCGCTGTAAAAGCTGTTGCTACGAACGTGCTATTGTAATCGATCTCTGGCCGATCGAAGCCAAAGCGTTGACTGCGCCATTTCCGTGTACAGCTTACCCTGTGTCGGGAGGCTGCCAACAATGCTCGACGCAGCGATGTCACGATGTGCAGCGAGACCAGAGATTGATGGAAAGACGAGTCATGCTGACACACTCGCTGTAGTTTGTTGCTGACCTTACGCTCATTGTGTGGTTCAATCTTTTCAATTTATACATGTGCCATCTTTCGACAGCAATACAGCAGGGCATCTAGTTAGCACACTACAGGTTCTCATTGCGCACATTCGATGCGGTGACCTTGACGCAATCGACGAGGAAGTGCTCTTGGCTACACAGAGCATCGAACTGCTTATTTTACACTAGTGTTTCCAACTCGTTCCATGCTCGGGTCGAAAGTGGCGCAGGCACGCGTTTCCGCGAGATGACTGTATATCGCGCCTCACTCAACGAATATGAGCGTATTCTTCAGATTCGCCGTCGACCGATTCTTATGTCGAGTATCCAGCGCGCATACTCTCTTGAGCATACATTCGTTGTCGCTACTGTGTGACGAGTGTTGAGCATCCTTCGAGCTCAACACGGATTGCGTCTTGCACCCTTTTGAACAAGATTGCCAAGTGAAAAAAAGACAAGTGTGAGTCAGTGGCGATAATCACACGCGACAAGAATGGTGGCGCTCACGTTGAAACAGTTGGTGGTACTTCATTTGCATAGGATGGCAGGTCGCGCTTATATTTGTCCCTTTATCTACTTGTCGAGCAACGTGAGCGATGGAGAGTCGGAGTCGACTTACAAGCCGTCGCGTATGTACATTTCTCACGATATGGTTAACATCAA